AATGAAGAGAAAGTCTACCCAAGACAACTCAAGGAGAGTAATGAAGAAAACATATGGTATCTAGACAATGGAGCTAGTAACCATATGACCGGATGGAAGGACCTATTTGCTGAACTTGACGAGAAAGTAACGGGGCAGGTTCGATTCGGATACGGGTCCAAGGTTCCGATCAAAGGAAAAGGTGCTCTCCTGTTTGATTGAAAGAATGGTAACCAATTATTCATCCCAGAAGTGTATTATATTCCTGCCCTGCACAGTAATATAATAAGTCTGGGACAAATGACTGAAGAGAGGTATGACATAGGGATGAAGAAGGAGTTCTTGAGAATGTATGATGAAGCAGGAAGCTTAGTTATGAAGGTGCAGAGATCCAAGAACAGACTTTATAAAATAAAGCTCACACCTGGAAAGCATGTATGCTTATCCATGAGTATAGACGATGACTCATGGTTATGGCATGCACGTATGGGCCACATAAACTTCAAGTTACTTGAAGAAATGACACTTAAGGAAATGGTGACAGGTATGCCCCGGTTGACTCATCCATCACAAGTGTGTGAAGCATGTATGGTAGGTAAGCAGGCAAGACAGAGCTTCCCAAAGGTAACCCAATGGAGAGCAAAAGACCCACTCCAGTTGTTGCACGCAGACCTCTGTGGGCCAACTACACCCGCAACAAAAGGAGGTAATCAATACTTCCTGCTGATTGTAGATGACTACTCACGCTACATGTGGGTCTATCTGATCAAAACAAAAGACGAGGCATTCAACATGTTCCAGAAATTCAAGTCACGAGTTGAAGGAGAGAGTGAGTATAAGATCAAGATCTTACGAACTGACCGGGGAGGCGAGTTTAACTCCACCCAGTTCGCTAATTTTTGTGAACACGCTGGAATTCGCAAGCAATTGACGACTCCACACACGCCTCAGCAAAATGACGTTGTGGAGAGGCGCAATCGAACAATTCAGGAGATGACTCGATCATTGCTCAAAGCCATGAGACTACCCGATCAGTTTTGGGGCGATGCAGTACGACACTCGGTATACCTACAAAATAGAATTGGGACGAAGGCTCTGAAAAATGTAACTCCATACGAGGCCTGGAAAGGGTCCAAGCCATCCTTAGCACACCTAAAGGTCTTTGGGTGTGTAGGATTCATCAAGAAATTGCGTGGTCTAACAAAATTGAGTGATCGGAGTGAGGCTATGGTGTATTTAGGAACTGAAGAAGGAACTAAGGGATACCGTATGTATAATCCCAATAGTCGACGGATTGTAGTAGCCAGAGACGTGATGTTCAACGAAGCAAAACCTTGGGCCTGGAATAACGAGTCAATGAGGGAGCCTCTTACAACCCCCTATTGGACTATTATTGTGACAGGTATGGAAGCCAAATCCCAACCAGCCCAAGAAGTTGATTCAGCAGATAACGTGACTGAACACCCGCTGACGCCGTTACATGGTGACTCTCACCTAGAACACGAAACTCACAGTCCGTCGTTTGAAAATACGCCACAGCAAAGCGCGCACAGATTGGAGTCACGATCAACATCACCAGGTCAAGCATCGGCACAAACTGGGTCCGTAGTCTCGTGTGACGACACACCAGCGAAGGGTTTTTGATTACTCAATGAAATTTACGAGAACACAAGAAGATTAGACGAGGTTGAAATACAAGAGCTGTATAAGAAAGACCAGGAGCTACTGTTGGTTAATGATGAGCCTACGACCTATGAAGAAGCAATAGCTGAAAGGGCTTGGAATCAGGCCATGAAATTGGAATTGGAGTCAATTGAAAGGAACAAAACTTGGTCCTTGGCCAAATTGCCCCCAAATCGCAAGGCCATAGGGCTAAAATGGGTATTCAAGTTAAAAAGGAGTGCAGCTGGAGAAGTACTCAAACACAAGGTTCGCCTGGTCGCCAAGGGTTATGTTCAAGAAAGGGGTGTTGATTTTGACGAAGCATTTTCACCAGTGGCCAGGGTGGAGACGATAAGACTGATCCTCTCGGTAGCGACAAAAGAAAATTGGCTTGTACATCACCTGAATGTCAAGTCATCGTTCCTACACGGAGACCTTAAGGAAGAGGTTTACGTAACTCAGCCCACTGGATTCACGGTCAAAGGTAAGGAAGGCTGGGTGTATCGTCTTCACAAGGCCCTATATAGGTTACGACAGGCACCAAGGGCATGGAACATAAAACTCGACCAATCACTCAAGTCATTTGGATTCCCCAGATGTGTTCGTGAGCAAGCCGTCTATAAGGTACATAAACCCAAATTGATTCTTATAGTGGGTGTATATGTAGATGACCTTATAGTCACTGGGTCAAGTGAGAAGGGAATCCAGGAGTTCAAGAATAAAATGAAATGTTTGTTTGACATGAGTGATCTGGGAGTGCTATCTTATTACCTGGGAATTGAAGTACCACAGTATAAGGATGGTATAATGCTCACACTGAAGGGGTATGCTGAAAAGATCCTAAAGGTTTCGGGCATGGAAGGCTGCAACAGTTCTCAGTACCCAATGGAGCCAAAACTCCATTTAACCAAAGATGAAGATGGTTAACCTGTGAATGCAACAATGTATAGGAAGCTTGTTGGAAGTTTAAGGTACCTGCTCCACACAAGACCAAACCTTAACTACAGTATTGGAGTGGTGAGCAAGTTTATGCAAAACCCCAAACAAAGACATTATACTGCTATAAAACATATCCTGAGATATGTGAAGGGTACAACAGAGTATGGACTGATGTACCACAGGGGAGGTGACGGAAGACTCGTGGGTTACAGTGACAGCAGTTACAACAGTGATTGTGAAGATAGAAGAGGAACCACTGGAATAGCTTTCTACTACTCAAGAAACCTTATAACATGGGCATCACAGAAACAGAAAACCTGTGGCACTTAGCTCATGTGAAGCCGAGTATATGGCTGCAACTGCAGCTGCATGTCAAGGACTGTGGTTAAGTAACCTGTTCAGTGAGCTGATGGGAAAGAAAGCACAGAAGGTGAAGCTGTTAATTGACAACCAATCCACCATAGCACTCATAAGAAATCCGGTGTCCCATGGCAGAAGCAAGCACATAGACACAAAGTTCCACTTTATTCGTATGTGTGTTGAAAGGGAACATATTCAAGTGGAGCATGTGACTGGAGATCAACAGAAGGCTGATGTTCTGACAAAGGCAATGCCAAGGATAAAGTTTGCGGAGATGAGAGCACAAATTGGGATAGAAAATCTGAAGAAGAAAGGTCAACCTTGAGGGGGAGAAATGTTGGTCGAAGGTTGACCTCGTAATTAGGAAGGAATAAAACACATGGGAAGTCATGACCGTTGGAAAATTGACTGTTCCTATTATTTCTCATTTTCAGTTCATGTTTAGTAGTATAAATACCATCGATTAGAAGTTACAATCCATCAGTCGAAATTTCCTTGTACATCAACTCAATCATTAGGTTGCTAGTCTTCATTCATTAAAAGTGAATCATTCGGCTGCCTATTTCCAGTTTTACCCCTGCTTTGTTTTTGTTGTTTACTGTTCTATTGGCTTGATCACCAACAATTATTTGGTTCTTTTATCTTTACAAAAAATTGTTCCTCGGCTACTAACATTGTCGCTTTCGGTTCTCACAAAAGATAGAATTATATTTGCATATTCAAAATCATTATATGAATTGTGAAACTTGAACCCCTATATTTTAATAATAAAGTAACTGAAACCGCAATACTCTAATTTGGTAGATTTACAAAGTATAATGCCTTAAAAAGAAAGAAACCGAAGATAATATGCTATAATTGGGTAGATTACCAAAGTCTAATGCCCTTTACCAGAAAGATCTTGGAAGTACAATGGGTTTGCATTTAGTCAATTTATTCCTGTTTACTTTATAGGAAGTAAAATCCAATGAGGATTAAGGTTCTCCAAAAATATCGTTGCTATTCATTTGTTTGATGCTTTCTAATTTTCCGCTACATCGCTACATAGGATTAGAAACCAGTTTACCCGGTTAAAAGCCACTATGATGCTTAATAGAAATATCAAAATTAATTTGTTACCCTGCAAAGTACAATTAAAATGATTAGTGATATGAAGAGCAAATTGACGATTATTGGAGGCCATTTTATGACATTAACCCTCTATTAATACAGTCATGCATTCTTTAGTTATAATTTTGCCGGCGTCCCCACGAGGTGGCAAGGAGGCAATTTCTAGTTAGTATTAAACGTGGATGACTATTATCTTTTATGTATAACTTTGTAGTTAACCCTGAGTTCGTTGATGGTATGAGAGTTGTTGTGATAGATTTGCATCACAAATTCAATGAACTTGAAGATGTAGGTAGAAGACTCTGTTGATCGAGTTATTCACAAAAAAAAAAAATAATAATAAATAAAAATAAGTATAATTGTGTGATTGAAATTGACAAATCTTTTCATCAATATTATGTAGCTCTATTACAATATAATTATGTAAAGTCTTGAATGAATATTGATACCAAAAGGGTGTTGTATGAAAAACGTGGACAACATTATCTGCATTTGGTTGAAATTTGTGAATATTTCAGTTCTTTGCAATCTTATTTATTAAAAGGTTAAGGTGTGTCTAACTTGACTTGTTTTGTGAAGAATTTGTTGATAAGGAACTGATTCTGAAAATACTGATGTAGCTGTCTTGAAGTACGTGGTTACTAAATTGAGGGAGTAAAGTGTTAAAGTTATAAGCTAGACTTCATTAATAGCATCTATTAGGTATTATGGTATTACCGTTAATATGTGAACTATTGTGTTGGTTAGAATCAGAATGGTGTGAACCGTTGCATTAGTTAGGAGACTTTGTAACTGTCAATTGACAGTTACACTATAAGAGTATATATATGTATGTAAATATTATGTAAATGCTGTTGGGTTATATCAATAAAAAGGTCTTTGTTTGTGTACAAACCCATCCTATCGTTGATTCCCTTTCTCTTATCTTTTCTGCAAATTTGTGTTAATTTATGCTTGATTCCAACATAAAGGATATAATTTTGGAACTTGGAGCACCAGTCTGCAAGGAGTCAGGAGTGCAGCTTATATCTGGTAATCTGGATTACTTTTCGAAACTTAGATATTTTCTGCTTCCACTTTCTTTGTATTTCATTAATGTTCTTCTGTTCAAGTTTTGTAATCGTTTTCTCTATTCTCGATTCTGGTGTTGGTTTATGAAAAGGTTTATTAAAATTTCTCTATAATTAAACTCTTTTCCAAGAAGTTGAGATTAATAATCTTCTTGTTGTTAAATATGTAGTTAGAAGGTGTTTGAACATCTTAGTATCCGTTTGATCAAAATAATAATGGAGTCCTTCCTCAACGAGTTTCAACATCTTGCAATCCGACTTGAAGAGATAAAGTCAGCCACCAACACCTTTGATGACAACAAACTTATCGGAAAAGGTGGATTTGGGAAAGTGTATGGAGGAGTACTCTCTAACTCCAAGGAGAAGGAGCATATAAGCAAGGTTGCAATTAAGCGTCTAGATCGCAAGTATGGGCAAGGAGACCCCGAGTTCTTGAAAGAGATCTTGCTGCTTTCGCGCTACACACATGAAAATCTCATCTCTCTAATGGGATTTTGCGATGAAGATGGTGAAAAGATCCTTGTGTACGAGTATGGTTCTCATGGAAGCCTTGATCGCTATCTAAGTAGTACTAGTCTCACATGGACACAACGTCTCATTATATGTATTGGGGCTGCAACAGGATTGTGCTACCTTCATGATCCAAAGGAGACACAAGAAAGAGTTCTCCATCGTGATATAAAAAGCTCCAACATTTTACTCGATGAGAATTGGAATGCAAAAATTTCTGACATGGGACTCTCGAAATTAGGCCCTGCAAATCAGCAACATACATTTCTTATCTCCAATGTTGCGGGTACCTTCTGGTGTGTAGATCCGATGTATATGGAGACAAGTGTTGTAACAAAAGAGTCTGATGTCTACTCTTTTGGTGTGGTCTTGTTTGAGGTATTGTGTGGGAAACTATGCTTTGAAAATAACAATGGTAATTTCAAGAGTTACGTGCGTATGTGGAAAAAGAGCTACAAACAAAAGAAATTAGACAAGATTGTCTTTGAAGATATGAAGGAAAAGATCGATCCGAGGTCATTGGAAACATATTCATCTATTGCCTATCAATGTTGGAAGAAATCTCGTGAAAAACGACCAGAAATGTATGGAGTTGTGGAAGAACTTAATATCGCGCTTCGGTTTCAAGAGAATTTTGAAGAAGTCGAACCACAAATGAACTATGAAGAGGTGCGTAAGTCAGCACGGTTTAAAAAAACAAAAGAGATGTGTAAGACTGAGGTCCCTTCTCTAGCGTACAGATCCGAAGAGGAACTAAAGATCCTTCTCTCTGAAGGCATCTTCCTTAACCAGGGAAAAACGGTAATTATATGTATTGCTTAATTGTAGTTTTAATTTGAGGAATTTCACAAAATAATTCTTGCAAAGTATACTATGCATTTGCCACAAAGAATGATGATGTAACTAATTAAATGGCTTTCTACTTAATCACACTTCAATCACAATCACAATACTAAAATCCACCTATCATAGATCTATAAGCTGTAAAATAAAGAAGGTCTCTACTCTAACTTGAGTTTTTTTAATTTTAATGGACAGTGGTTTTGGTTAAATAAGAATGGAGAGCATTGTGAAATGATATCCGCAGCAGAGTGTTTCTATCCTATTACCCTTGCACCTCATTATATTGAATTTTATGCTAAGGAAAAATCAAGGTAAGTTGCCCCCATCTTTTTTATTAGTGAGTATATATTTTTATGTATTCTTTGCAACTTTCTTGCAGATTTGCAGAGTACATGAATACACAAATTTGTTCGGATTTCAAAATACGTGTGAAAACACAATTTTTGTCACCACATATCACGTACGCAGTAAACCTTGTGTTCTGTTTATACGACTCTGATTTTACAAATTCACGCCTCAATTACATACTTACTGGGGAAACAGAATCTTCGAGTTTGTACTTAGCAGATACGAGAGAAGATGGATGGTTGACTGCTGAATTGTATCAATTTACTAGCGACAATAAAATTGTTGATCTTCAAATTACATTTAAATGTTGGAATAAGTTGTTAGTAGAAGGCATTGAGTTTCAGCCTGTGGAGATGATAAGCCAACAAATTCCAGAACATCAAGAATTAGATGATGAGAGAGAGGTAGATATGCAGGAGGACATGTCTCATTCAGATGTTTATTGGAAAGAAAAATTACCAAGTGATTATGAAAACATAATCAAGTGGTCGAAAGATAAGTTGCACTGGACAACAAAGAAGGAACTATATTCTATTCTCCGCAAAGGGTTCCTTATCCGGATCGAAGGCGAAGAGGTAAATTTGCTTTTTCCCTATCACGTGTTGTAAATATGTACATCTATTATATCTAGCTGTTGTGGAAAGCTATAGAATTCCCAAACAAGTACTTACAAAGATATTAATAACTGACAGTGGTTTTCTCTCGACAAAGATGGGAAGAAATGTATTATGCTACCAGCAGCGGTGGCTTTGAAAAGAAAAAAGTGGAGTTGGCGGTCTTTACCCGAATCAAGGTTCTATTCTCTTCTCCCACTCCCAGTCTTTTATTTTGTAACCAATGCCTTGTTTGGCGCTCTAACTAAAATGCCAACTTTTAGACTATGTTTGGTGTAGCCGATAGCTGAAAAGCTAGCTGTTCAACAAAAAACTGAAAACTAGCTCTTAAATAAAAAAACTAGCTAATAAAAAAAAACTAATTAAAAAGCTAGCTGAAAGATATAAAATGACATTTAAAAGAATGTGTTTCTATAATTAATTAAGGGGTATATTTGAAATTTTTTTTAAAAAAAACTCCTAAGCTAGCTTATCACCAAGCTATGGCTCGCCAAAACACCCTTAACTTATAACCTAGCTTATCAATAAACTATCTGGAGATAACTTATCAAAAAGCTAGCTTAGAAGCTATGATAAGCTACTTATAAGTTATGATAGCTTATAAACTATCTCAAGCTAGCTTATAAGCTATTTTTGTGGTTTTACCAAACAGTAAATTATCGTAAGCTAACTTATTTTTGCCAGACACGGCCCAACTCTATGTTTTGCATATGGGTAATTAACGAGCAAATACCTCAAAGGGTCTTGAAATAGTTTAAACTTTAAATAAAATTTAGCATTTTTATTAAAATATGCAATGTCGTTTTGCAGATTTGAAGAAATGGCCTTTGATCCTACTTGGAGCTTTACTATATGTTGCAATACGTCCCATATGTTGTCATCTGAAACATGTTATGGAGCTTACCTTGTTTACAAATTACAAGAAAACCATTCTGGATTTAAGCGTCCTTTGATCGTGACGATGACTAGTCATTTCTCTGATACAGTAGTAATCTCACGATATATCTATTTGGTTAGTCCTCAAACCCTGGTCATCAGACGAAAGGCTTATGAAAATACCCACAACCCATTGAATAGACCCAAAATAAAAGGCTTTCCACAAAAAAGGAAAAATGGTTGGATGGAAGTACAAATAGACGAACAGCTTACACAAACTCCCTCGACGTTTGTAAAACTTTCAGTCAACTTTCCCATTGACCAGTCACTTAAAGGGCTTAGTGTGCAAGGCATTGAGTTCAGACCATGTAATTAGACATGAATTAGTTAGACCATGTAATTAGACATGAATTAGTTGTAAAAGGTTTTCTTATGTACGAATGGTTGGGCATAAAAAAATCGCTTATGTTTTACTTTCTATATTTCTTTTCTTTCTTTCATTCAGAATTTCTTCAGACTACATGTAATACCTTTAACTTTAAGTTACAAGGGAAGAGTTTGGTAAACCAATTGCAAGTAACCTAATTTATTGGTTTAATCCATAAAGTTTTAATAAAAAAAACAGAAAAAGAAAATGAAGAAGAATTATGACAATCACATGAGGCTATCCATATTATCTGAATTTGTTATTTCCATTTGCTTTAATCAATGTTATCAGCCAATTTCCTTTATGTATTTTAAATGAAGTAGGTGGATAGTAGTTGTCTAGTTTTAAATGAATGTTCCTTTTGTATTAAGTAAGTATTGAATGTAAGAAAGAAGACACAGTCACTTCCTCTCAACGTTTTTTTGGCATTAATTGCTCTCTCTCTCTCTATCTATCTCTCTCTCTCCCCCTCCTTCTCCTTCTCCCTCTCCTTCTCCCTCTCTCTCTCTCTATCTCTATCTCTCTATCTCTCTCCTGCACATACACACGAAAACAAGGAAGCTCTCCATCTCCATTTCTATTTTTTTGCAAAAGACAAGTGATTCAAAAGGCAAAAACCCAACATTTGGTATCAGAACATATAAAAGTTTATGCAAAAATATCAACCCCGATCTACATCCATGGAAGATTCGTTAAGGAACGAGAAGGATGGGCAGATTACACTGCATTATCCTATGATGTCAAGAAACAACTATGCTGCATGGGCCCTTAAAATGAAAGTGTCCAAGCAAGCACAAGGTGTTTGGGATGTTGTAGAGCCTAGTAAACCAGAAGATGTAGTTGAAGTTAGAAAAGATAAGATGACACTTGCAGCCATCTATCAAGGAATCCCAGAAGATATGTTGTTGTCATTGGCAGAGAAACAAACAACAATGAAAGAATGGGAGACTCTAAAAATTATGTACATGGGGGCTGATAGAGTAAAGACAGCAAGGGTGCAGACGTTAAAAGTAGAATTTGAAGTTCTAAATATGAAGGAGATGGAGACAGTGGATGAGTTTGCTATGAAGGTAAACAATATTGTAAGCAATATCTGGGCCTTAGGAGACAAAGTTGAGGAAGCATATGTAGTGAAGAAGATACTACGAGCAGTGCCATCAAAGTTCTTGCAGATTGCATCAACCATTGAGCAATTCGCAGACCTTGATAAAATGATTGTTGAAGAAGTTGTTGGTAGGTTGAAAGCTGATGAGGAGAGAATCTAAGGGCACAATGAAGTTGAAGAAAAGAAGATTCTATTGACTCACCAAGAACGGTCTGAAAGAAACAAGAAGCAAAGTGAAGACGACTCAAAATCCTCTCATGGATCCTACCATAGCATTCCAAGAAATTAACGAGGTTGTGGCAGATGGAGCAACTATAGCTACCGTCGAAGAGGCCATGGAAGAGGTCGTGGAAGAGGCGTTGCTGACCAGCAACGAGAAGGAAATCAGGGTCATCAAACAGTCATGACAAGAGCAAACTCCAATGTTATAACTGTCAAGAATATGGGCATTACGCCTCAGAGTGTAGAAACCCAAGACGTGAAAGGAACCATGAAGCAAATCTGACCCAAGATCATGCTGAACCGACATTATTATTGGCTTCTTTTAACAATAATGAAGAAATAGAGGAGGTGTTTGTTAACACGCTGTCGCGCACGTATTCAACAAATAAATTTATCACTGCTGGTTGCACTAAAAATATAGCACAGGGAAGCAGGGTCGAATCCTCAGGGACACAGCCTAAAAGTCAATGTCTTTTTGCATCAGACACATCTAGTCAAGAAACAGAATATAAAAGGGGGGTTTTTGATTAAAACTAATAACTAGAAATGCAGTGATAATAAAGTAAACGAAAATCAATAATAAAAATGGTTTCAGCTCTGATGTGACTTTCCTAATTGTGCAATCAACATTGACCTGATTATTTCAGATGCGTTCTATCTAAGCTGGTACTGAGAAAAACTAACAAGCTCTAGTAATTTCTCTTTTACCTTATTTAGTTAACTAAAACAAGCTCTTCAATTAACCCTAACTTTTTACTGTCTAATCAAACAAGCTCTTAATTAAGATCAGAAAAGTTGCATTAAGTTCTTTGTAAAATTCCCAGCAATACCCAATACTTCTCACAAGCTCGGAAGCGTAAAGATATGATTTTTCAAGTTTATAATAAAGTCAAATCCCAAACACGGAACTGATTTATTACTTGTTACTTATTACCAATTAATTAGAACAATTACAGATTCTATTAACTGATTAACTGGAATGATAAAACCCTAGCTAGGTGATCAGACTAACAAGAATCAAAATCAAACATTCATTAAGAACAAAACTGAAAAATCTAAATGGAAACACAAAACGAAAATCAGATCTAATGGTCAATCACATGAAAAGTACTTGTCTTTGCAGAACTGAAAACTAAGGTTTTAGCCAGACATGGCCAAAATCTGATAAAAATAAATGAAAAGAGACATCAAACAACTAATCTTACTAATCTACTTGAAGGAGATGATCCACAGTCTTCAGATCTTCAGAAATCGTTGAAATCGGAAAAGAAACACCTCCAAAATCGTATTTTCGTCGTCTGGTACCTTTGGAATCGCCAACTTAGGTTACAGGAATGCTATCAAGGTCTATTTATACGTCCTGCAGCAAAAACGGCGCACCTGCGATCGCATGTACACAACCTGCGCGATCGCAGGTTTTGAAATAAACGCGTCTGGTGCCTTTTTAATAAGATAGGATGCTATTTTGACACTTTTTGGCCAACCTACGATCGCATGTACACAACCTGCGATCGCAGGTATTGAGTTTTCACTCCCGGATGAATTTTGGGCACAAAAGAACCTCGAAGGCGACCTGCGATCAAACCTGCGATCGCAAAAAGGGTCACCTGCGATCGCAAGGAGACAACTTGCGATCGCCGGTTATGCCTATGACATCCGAAATTTTGTCTACTTTTCAGATCATTTTGAATCGCTTCAATCGGAGTTACGGTTCTCGAGATATGGTCAAAATACTGACAGGGGGTCAAAGCTGCCAGCAACATCCTTTAACTTTCGATTGCATATTCTATCTTCGTGTGATCAATTCAATCGAATGTTTCTTGACCAAAGCATCTTCCAAACATTCCTCATAATCCTTCATAAGTCCCAAGCTCCATTTTAAGCTCCAAACGCGCATCCAACTGCTCCCAAAGCACTGCTCCACTCGAACTATCTGAAATTGACATAAAAACATGAGCAGTACGGGAATTCTAACGAAAGACATGAGCTGAACATTGTTTAAACAAATGACATGCAAATGTACAAAATATGATCCTAAATGCTAATGAAAACTACCCTATAAGATGCATAAAACGGCATCTAACAGTGTTCCTGAATGAATAAAAAGTGACACCAAAACTGAAGTTAGCAAGTGATGAAACAACTCGGTAAAATGTGTGGTATCTAGATAATGGAGCAAGTAACCACATGATCGGTCAGAAATATAAGGTTTATAATCTTAACCAAGCAACTCAAGGTTATGTAAAGTTTGGAAATGGGTCCAAGGTACGCATAGAAGGGAAAGGTTCTATCATATTCCTGTGCAAGAACAGAGAGCAACGAAAGCAGCAAGATGTGTACTACATCCCAAGTTTATGTAATAATATCATAAGTTTGGGTTAACTAGCAGAGAATGGTGACATGATCTTGATACATGGATCGTTTCTGTGGGTTCATGATGTAAAAGGGAGACTACTCATGAAGGTACAACAATCTCCAAACAGTCTATATAAAATCATTTTGAATGAAGTCGGGTCCAGATGTCTGCTTGGAGAGACTTGTAAACAAACTTGGCTTTGGCATGTACGAATGGGTCATATTAACTTTACTGCCCTCAAATAAATGTCAGAAAAGAACTTAGTTTGTGGATTACCAAAGATAGATAACCCGACACGGCTGTTTGAAGGATGTCTAGTGGGAAAGCAGACATGAAAATCGTACCCAACACAAGCAAGCTTCAAGGTAAAACAAAAGCTTGAGCTAGTACACGGGGACCTTTGTGCTCCTATTTCACCACCCACACCTACTGGTAATTGATATTTTATATTGTTAGTTGATGATTTTACTCGAGTAATGTGGATACATATGATGAAGACTAAGTTGGTTTTTGTATACTACAACATCCTATGGTGCACATACAACCCTAAATGCTTTGGATCTATGTTTTCTCTAATTATACATGCAATATTGTTTCCAAATCATTAAGCCTACAATTAGCATACAACTGACAAAAACAACATAAAATACTAGTTAGGAGTGTACCTCTATATGTAGCTTGTAGAACTTGTTGTACTTGGCCTTTAAGAACTTAGTTCCCCAAATGTTGCACCTCAAATGGTTCACAACACACCTTAAACAAAGGTTGACTTTTGAGAGAGTTTCTTGCACACAAATCGCCTCATATTAACTCATAGAACATTAGGGTGTCGATTTTAGCTATGGGGTGCTCTATATATATGTTAGGTATCCAAGAGTCATGGGTAAACCCTAATCCATACTCTTGGGCTTATTATCCATGATCCATGATTCAAGTGGGCTAAATCTTTATGGATTCATCCATAAACCTAGTCCATCCTGTATCATAAGCCCAAAACATATATATAATTAATTTACACAATTAGTCCCCATTAATTTACTTAGTCTCTTTTGATCACTAAATTAATTCAAAATTAATTCTTGATCAATACTAATTAAACCATATGATTTCATATTAATATATTAGAACTTATAATATATTAATAAATCATAAATAACCTCTTCTCAAAAGTCCATCCTATCAAATTGCCGTGGTGATATGCAACCCAAATGGACCATGCTACTCTCGGGTCAAGTACATCCCAATTATAGTTATGGGCTTAGATAC